AAAAAAATATATGGAAGTTCATAGAACTATGCTCTCTACCTTTGTGTATGTTTGAACATTTCCATAATAAAAGAGTTTTAAATGATGTTCCTCTGGTAAGCATGGTTTCCAGTAACTCCCAGAGCATTCTTCCCACTTGCTCTGAAAGCCAGGACTTACCCTTTGGCTCCCCATGCACAGATCCCAGCCCTTTCTCCCCTCCACCCAGGCCACCCTTTATCCCCTGTAGTTCTCTGCTGGCACAGTCCCCACATTTAGGACCTTTCCCAGCTGTGCTTCACAGCTCTGAGGGGCCAGAGAGACCTTAAGAAGTATACATATTTTGAATAGGTCCTAAAATAAACAAAAATACACCAAAATAATATAATATTGCTTTTGGTCCCTATTAGGTGCTTCTGAGCAAAATACAATGCAATAATGGTAGAAAACTGGCCTCCATCCTGTGAAATAGAAGGCAAGGGATGTAAGGTCATCCTGTCTCATCCACTGCCTTCATCCAGGATGATCTGCACCCCAAAGGAAATACCACTAAGAATTCAGAGACTCAGGCTGGGTGCAGTGGCTCACACCTGTAATCCCGGCAATTTGGGACACCAAGGCAGGAGGATCACAAGGTCAGGAGATCAAGACCATCCTGGCTAACACAGTGAAACCCCATCTCTACTAAAATACAAAAATTAGCCAGGCGTGGTGGCATGCGCCTGTAGTCTCAGCTACTTGGGAGGCTGAGGCAGGAGAATCGCTTGAACCTGGGAGGCAGAGGTTGCAATGAGTTGAGATCACATCATTGCACTCCAGCCTGGGCAACAGAGCAAGACTCCGTCTCAAGAAAAAGAATTCAGAGACTCACTGTCATGAGTTCAAGAGGCTGAAGCCCAGGACTGGGATGGAGGGCACTTACTGAGTAACCCTGGGAAAATCATGATTTTTTTTTTTTCTTTTTCTTTTTTCTTTCTTTCTTTTTTTTTTTTTTTTTTTTTTGTTGTTGTTGTTGTTTTTGAGACAGAGTTTCGCTTTTGTTGCCCCGGCTGGAGTGCAATGGCGCGATCTCAGCTCACCACAACCTCTGCCTCCCAGGTTCAAGCGATTCTCCTGCCTCAGTCTCCCGAGTAGCTGGGACCACAGGCATGCGCCATCATGCCTAGCTAATTTTGTATTTTTAGTAGAGATGGGGTTTCTCCGTGTTAGTCAGGCTGATCTTGAACTCCCGACCTCAGGTGATCCACCCACATGGGCCTCCCAAAGTGCTGGGATTACAGGCGTAAGCCACCGCAGTGGCTTTTTCCTTTTTTAAAGACAGGGCTTGTTCCATCACCCAGGCTGGAGTGCAGCGATACCATCAGAGCTCACTGCAGTCTCCAACTCCTGGGCTCAAGCAATCCTTCTGCCTAAGCCTCAGGAATAGCTGGGGTTACAGGCACCTACCACCATGCCCAGACAGGGGTTTCCCTAGTTGCCCAGGCTGGCCTCAAACTCCTGGCCTCAAGAGATCCTCCCACCTCAACTTCTTAAAGTGCTAGGATTACAGGTATGAGCCACCAAGCCTGGCAGAAAGCATGATTTTTTAAATTTTTATTTATTTATTTATTTATTTATTTATTTTTGAGACAGAGTCTCACTCTGTTGCCCAAGTTGGAGTGCAGTTGTGCGATCTTGGCTCACTGCAACCTCCACCTCCAGAGTTCAAATGATTCTCCTGCTTCAGCCACCTGAGTAGCTGGGATTATAGGCATGCACCACCAGGACCCAGCTATTTTTTTTGTATTTTTCGTAGGATGGGGTTTCGCCATGTTGGCCAGGCTGGTCTTGAACTCCTGGCTTCAAGAGATCCGCCCACCTTGGCCTCCCAAAGTGCTGGGATTACAGGCGCAAGCCACCACGCCCAGTCGGAAATCACGATTTTCTGTCTTAGTGTTTCTAGATGAAAGCATGGGAACCATCACCCCTTTCTACTCTTCACTAGTTTGCCAGCTAGGGATGAAAGCGCTTTGGAACTTGTAGGATATAAACCAGCTGTTTTATCATAAGAAAGTATTTCTCCAGGCTGGACGCGGTGGCTCACACCTGTAATCCCAGCACTTTGGGAGGCCAAGGTGGGTAGATCCCTTGAGGCCAGAAGTTCAAGACTGTTTTGGAACAGGGTCTCATTCTGCTGCCCAGGGTGTAGTGCAGTGGCGTGATCTCGGCTCACCACAACCTCTACCTCCCGAGTTCAAGCCATTCTCCTGCCTCAGCCTCCCAAGTAGCTGGGATTACAGGTGTGTGCCACTACCGCCCAGCTAATTTTTGTATTTTTAGTAGAGATGGGGTTCCACCATGTTGGCCAGGGTGGTCTGGAACTCCTGACTTCAAATAATCCACCCACCTTGATCTCCCAAAGTGCTGGGATTACAGGCGTGAGCCACCATGCCTGGCCAAAAGAAAATATTTCTCCAGATGTAATCCCAAACCCTCCTACCCTGTCTCTAAACTTTAGTATTTTTAAAAAAAAAAAAAAACCAACAGGCTGGGCGCGGATCACCTGAGGTCGTGAGTTCGAGACTAACCTGACCAACATGGAGAAATCCTGTCTCTACAAAAATTCAATATTAGCCAGGGGTGGTGGAGCATGCCTGTAATCCCAGCTACTTGGGAGACTGAGGCAGGAGAATCACTTGAACCCGGGAGCCAGAGGTTGCAGTGAACTGAGATCATGCCATTGCACTCCAGCCTAGGCAATAAGAAGCAAGAGCGAAATTCTGTCTCAAAAAAAAAAAAAAAAAAAAAAAAAACATGTACTGATCTGCTGTGCAGGTAGGTGAACTAGTGTAATTGCAGAAACTATGTAAGCTTGGAACTGGAAAGATTGGGGTCCCAGTTCTGACTCTGTCTTTTACTATGTAACTCTAAACATGTTACCTAACTTTTCCAACTCTGGTTAGTACCTACTATATGGATTGTTGTGACAATAAGATGAGATAAGTCATCTACAGCAGTTGGACTAAACCTTCTTTATTTATTTATTTATTCTTTTTTTTTTTTTTTGCGACGGAGTCTCGCTTTGTTGCCCAGGCTGGAGTGCAGTGGCGCGATCTCAGCTCACTGCAAGCTCCGCCTCCCGGGTTCACGCCATTCTCCTGCCTCAGCCTCCGAGTAGCTGGGACTACAGGCACGCACCACCACGCCTGGCTAATTTTTTGTATTTTTAGTAGAGACGGGGTTTCACCATGTTAGCCAGGATGGTCTCGATCTCCTGACCTCGTGATCCGCCCGCCTCGGCCTCCCAAAGTGCAGGGATTACAGGCGTGAGCCACCGCACCCAGCCTTATTTTTATTTTTTGAGATGGAGTCTGACTGTGTCGCCCAGGCTGGAGTGCAGTGGTGCGATCTCGGCTCACTGCAAGCTCTGCCTCCCAGGTTCACACCATTCTCCTGCCTCAGCCTCCCGAGTAGCTGGGACTACAGGCACCTGTCACCACGCCCAGCTAATTTTTTGTTTTTTTTTTTAGTAAAGACAGCGTTTCACCATGTTAGCCAGGATGGTCTTGATCTCCTGACCTCGTGATCCACCCGCCTCGGACTCCTAAAGTGCTGAGATTACAGGCGTGAGCCACCGCGCCCAGCCTTGGACTAAACCTTCTTAAAACTCCTTAGGTACATCATAACTGATACGTGTTAACAGTTAATATGGGCCAGTACTTTCAATATTAATTTACATGTTACTCATTTAGTCATAGAATATTTATGAAATATTTATGATTAATACATATCAATGACTGTTTTAAGTATTGGAATACAGGTGAACAAAACAGATAAAAATCTGTAGGGAGAAGAGATAGTAAATATTTACTTATTTATTTACTTAGAGACAAAGTCTTACTCTGTCACCCAGGCTGGAGTGCAGTGGTGCAATCTTGGCTCACTGCAACCTCCGCCTTCTCTCGTCCCTCAGCCTCCTGAGTAGGTGGGATTACAAGCGCGCACCACCAGGCCCATCTAATCTTTTTGTTTGTTTGTTTGAGACAGAGTCTTGCTCTGTTGCCCTGGGCTGGAGTGCAGTGGTGCAATCTCAGCTTACCGAAACCTCTGCCTCCCAGGTTCAAGCGATTCTCCTGCTTCAGCCTCCCAAGTCGCTGGGATTACAGGTGCACACCACCACGCCCAGCAAATTTTTTTGTATTTTTAGTAGAGATGGGGTTTCACCATGTTGGCCAGACTGGTCTTGAACTCCTGACCTCATGATCCGCCCCCCTCGGCCTCTCAAAGTGCTGGAATTACAGGTGTGAGCCACCGCACCCAGCAATTTTTTGTATTTTTAGTAGAGATGGGGTTTCGCCATGTTGGCCAGGCTAGTCTTAAATTCCTGGCCTCAAGTGATTCACCCATCTTGGCTTCTCAAAGTGCTGAGATTACAGGTGTGAGCCACCACACCTGGCCGAGATAGTAAATAAATAAACAAGGAAAATACATAGTGTACTGTAGAGTAAAAGCAGCAGAGAGAATAGAGAATTGAAAGGAAAATAGGTAGATTACTGTGCTGGAGGTGGTGGTGTTGCTATTTTAAACAGGAGGGCCACGGAAGGCCTCTCTGATCAGGTGACATTTTTTAAAAATTTGTTTTATTTTATACTTTTTTGTGAGACAGAGTCTCGCTGTCAACCAGGCTGGAGTGCAGTGGCGTGAACTTGGCTCACTGCAACCTTTGCCTCCCCGGTTCAAGCGATTCTCCTGCTTCAGCCTCCTGAGTAGGTGGGATTACAGGTGTCCACCACCATGCCTGGCTAATTTTTCTATTTTTTTAGTAGAGACAGGGTTTCACCATATTGGCCAGGCTGATCTTGAACTCCTGACCTCAAGTGATCGACCTGCCTCGGCCTCCTAAACTGCTGGGATTACAGGTATGAGCCACCAGGCCCAGCCAAGATCAGGTGACATTTGAACAGAGAACTGGAGGAGGTGATGGGGGAACCACGTGGATATCTTGGAGAAGAATTGTACAGGGAACAGTGTGCAAAGGCCCTGGTGGTAACCAATATAGATGGAGTAGGAGGGAGAGTAGCAGGGGATGAAGTCAGAGGAGTGGCAGAAGGTCAGAGGACAGAGGGTCTTGTAGACCATTATAAAGATTTCGGCTTTTACCCTTAGTGAGATGGGAAGTCATTGGAGGCTCTTGAGGAGATAATACGGAAGCTGTAGAGAGGTTAAATAGCTTTTCCAAGGTAAAACAGCTTGAGTGGCAGAAGGTAGGGAGTTAAGCGCCAAGGCTGAAGTTCTTAACCCTATGCTGCATTTGGGCATTGCTCTCCTGTGACTTCAAAGAAACTGGGACACTGGGAAGTTATGCGGCTTGCCTAAGGCCACACAGCTGGTAAGTGACAGGGGCAGGATTGCGCCTTAGTCTGTCTGCAGCCCGACTCCAAGTTCTTTACACCACACCGCCTCCCTCAGGTGTCTGGACCATACTGGCTTCTCTTGCATGGAGGTCACTGAAGTGGGAGAGGAGGCAAACCGAGGAGACCGTCTCGGCTTCGGGCGGCGGTGCTGTTCCTTAGGAAGCTCCAGCCCTTGGCTCTACCAGACTGCGGGCATCTTTCCCGAGCAAGGCACGGAAGAAAAGAAAATTGGCCTTTATTTCGGGGTGGCCCAGCAGGCATCCAAGAGCCAGAGGAGCAGGTGTCACGGGAGAGCGGCGAGCAAGGCCAGGCCAGGAGGAGCAACCGCAGCTGCCCACGGTCGCCCCTTCCTGACCCACCCCAGGTGTCCGGAGTTCCGCGCCCGGGTAGGGGAAGGAGGGCGGACGGGGCGGGGTTTTGGCGCCGCGCCCCCGTCACGTGACGAAGCCATCATGGCGGCGGCCAGAGGCCTGCCCGGCTCCCGGAAGCAGGCTGTGAGGGGCGGGAGCGCCGCTGGAACCCGAGCTGGAGCCGGAGCCACAGTGGGGAGGGTGGCCGGGCGGCCTGGAGCCGGACGTGTTCGGGGTGTCCCCGCAGACCGGGACAGCAGGTGAGACGGAGTCTGGGCGAGGTGCAAGCGGATGTGGCATCGCTGGGCAGGGGCTAGGGGGCGCAGTGGGGCGCCAGTGACCTGGAGGAGTGGGCATCTGAGATGCACACGCATGACCCTGAAGCAACTCGAGAGGCCTGCGCGGGTGGGAGGGATGCCCGGGACAGAGGATGAGACACTGAGGGCAAAAAGGGGCTCCCCTTTTTGGGAGGATGGGAGGTAATAGAAGGACGTGTGCGGGAGGTGCTGTGGGAAAGGGCAGTAGAATTTGGGGGACCGGGATTATTGGAAGGGACTCCCTCTTTACAGGCAAGGATGGGGTGAGTGCTCAGTCCTCTCCCCTGTCCTCTTACCCCTCCCTGCCCCACTGTGTCCCAGGAGACAGCTCTGGCGGGGCCACTCCTCCCACCCACCCAACTGGTCCCTCCGGTCTGAGATTCTGGGGAGTGGAATTGACGGGGTTGGGTGGAGCTGCCTTCTGCTTAAGACAGTCGGCCGCTTGACTTTGCTGCCCGAAGGATGGATATGACTCTGACCCCCACCTCTCTTCCCAGGTCGTCGGGGGCCCACCATGCTGGTGACTGCCTACCTTGCTTTTGTAGGCCTCCTGGCCTCCTGCCTGGGGCTGGAACTGTCAAGATGCCGGGCTAAGCCCCCTGGAAGGGCCTGCAGCAATCCCTCCTTCCTTCGGTTTCAACTGGACTTCTATCAAGTCTACTTCCTGGCCCTGGCAGCTGACTGGCTCCAGGCCCCCTACCTCTATAAACTCTACCAGCATTACTACTTCCTGGAAGGTCAAATTGCCATCCTCTATGTCTGTGGCCTTGCCTCTACAGTCCTTTTTGGCCTGGTGGCCTCCTCCCTTGTGGATTGGCTGGGTCGCAAGAATTCTTGTGTGCTCTTCTCTCTCACGTACTCACTATGCTGCTTAACCAAACTCTCTCAGGACTACTTTGTGCTGCTAGTGGGCCGAGCACTTGGTGGGCTGTCTACAGCCCTGCTCTTCTCAGCCTTCGAGGCCTGGTACATCCATGAGCACGTGGAACGGCATGACTTCCCTGCGGAGTGGATCCCAGCTACCTTTGCTCGAGCTGCCTTCTGGAACCATGTGCTGGCTGTAGTGGCAGGTGTGACAGCTGAGGCTGTAGCAAGCTGGATAGGGCTGGGGCCTGTAGCGCCCTTTGTGGCTGCCATCCCTCTCCTGGCTCTGGCAGGGGCCTTGGCCCTTCGAAACTGGGGGGAGAACTATGACCGGCAGCGTGCCTTCTCAAGGACCTGTGCTGGAGGCCTGCGCTGCCTCCTTTCAGACCGCCGTGTGCTGCTGTTGGGCACCATACAAGCTCTATTTGAGAGTGTCATCTTCATCTTTGTCTTCCTCTGGACACCTGTGCTGGACCCACATGGCGCCCCTCTGGGCATTGTCTTCTCCAGCTTCATGGCAGCCAGCCTGCTTGGCTCTTCCCTGTACCGTATTGCCACCTCCAAGAGGTACCACCTTCAGCCCATGCACCTGCTCTCCCTTGCTGTGCTCATCGTCGTCTTCTCTCTCTTCATGTTGACTTTCTCTACCAGTCCAGGCCAGGAGAGTCCAGCGGAGTCCTTCATAGCCTTTCTACTTATTGAGTTGGCTTGTGGACTATACTTTCCCAGCATGAGCTTCCTACGGAGAAAGGTGATCCCTGAGACAGAGCAGGCTGGTGTACTCAACTGGTTCCGGGTACCTCTGCACTTACTGGCTTGTCTAGGGCTCCTTGTCCTCCATGACAGTGATCGAAAAACAGGTACTCGGAACATGTTCAGCATTTGCTCTGCTGTCATGGTGATGGCTCTGCTGGCGGTGGTGGGACTCTTCACCGTGGTAAGGCATGATGCTGAGCTGCGGGTACCCTCACCTACTGAGGAGCCCTATGCCCCTGAGCTGTAACCCCATGCCAGGACAGGATAGCTGGGACAGACTCTTGAATTCCAGCTATCCAGGATTGTACAGATCTCTCTGTGACTGACTTTGTGACTCTGTCCTGTGGTTTCTCCTGCCACTGCTTTGTGTTTGGGAGGACATGATGGGGGTGATGGACTGGAAAGAAGGTGCCAAAAGTTCCCTCTGTGTTACTCCCATTTAGAAAATAAACACTTTTAAATGATCATTGATTTGATTTACTCATCCTTACCTGTAGCCTTCTCAGTAGTTTCTGGCAAGTGGGCAGCTAGAGGTTTTTTGTTTTTTGTTTTTTCATTTTTTTATTTTTTGAGACGGAGTCTTGCTCTGTCGCCCAGGCTGGAGTGCAATGGTGCAATCTCGGCTCACTGCAACCTCCGCCTCCCAGGTTCAAGTGATTCTCCTGCTTCAGCCTCCCAAGTAGCTGGGATTACATGTGCCTGCTACCATGCCCAGCTAATTTTTTTTTTTTTTAGTAGAGATGGGGTTTCACCGTGTTGACCAGGCTGATCTTGAACTCCTGATTTCAGGTGATCCACCCACCTCGGCCTCCCAAAATGTTGGGATTACAGGCGTGAACCACCACGCCAGGCCCAGCTAGAGGTTTTGAGGTGGGATTATCAGCAAAAGTTTTCTATTTCTAACCTCTCCAAGGCTGTCTCCAGTTGAGACTGAGAACTATGGAACTGTTCTCAGCAGAGCTGTGTGGGAAGGGCCTGAGGCCCCTAGGTCCTCCACATGCCTCTGTTGCTGGACAGGCACTGCCCCCAGTTGTCAAGCAGAACCCTTACTTACATCCAGGGTAAGATGATCTCTGTAGCACATGGGGTAGATGCCCAGTATGCCAGGCCACTGAGCAAAGATTCCAGGGGCTTGGGCTACTGCTGTGACCACCTCTTCGGCAAAGCCAGGGCCCTTCCTACCAAAGTAAGCTTGCAGCTCAGCACAGGCCTGCTGCCTGCCTTTTGCCTCTGTGGCTATGAATGCAACATTTGTCCAGCATCATCAGGGTCTACCAGATCCTTTATCCCTGCATGAAACTGAAGTGAAAGGCTGCCAAGGGGAGAGAGTGGTGCATTGCTGAGGGACTAGGATATCTTGTCTATACCTGACTCTCCCCCACCCAGCCTGAATGAGGGTGAGGGAGCCATCAGGGCAGGAAACAGTACTAGTGAGCCAGTTCTGTGGGTCCCTCCCTGCCTCACCTCTGATTGTATCTGCCTTTCCTCCTCCCACCAAAACCTGGGCTTCTCAGGGGAAGCACAGCCAGCTTTAAGAAGGGTAGGAAGGGAAGGAGGGTAGGCTCAAGGATGTGTCCTGGAATGTGCTTGGGATGGGCATGGGGGACACCTATCCCTTCTGGAAAAGGGTTGATGACCTTTCCTTGGGTCCCAGACTACTTCTCAGACAGAAAGATGCAGGATGTTCCAAGAACTGCAGGTCCCAACCTGTGTGGAAAGATAGCATCAGCAGGTGCTGGTGGAATGCAGGGTGGAAGGGCTTCTGCAGGGTGAGGCCAAGGGGAGGAATGGGTAGTGGTCTCAGTTCCCTTCTCAGACCAGAAAAAAACATGTTGCCCCACCCAAGCTTCAGGGAATAGAGGTTGAGATTAAGTAAGAAAAAACGTATCAGCCAGGTGTGGTGACTTACACCTGTAATCCCAGCACTTTGGGAGGCCAAGGCAGGCAGGAGTTTGAGCCCAGGAGTTTGAGACCAGCCTGGGCAACGTGGCAAAACCCCATCTCTACAAAAAATAGACAAATTAGTTGTGCATAGTGGCATGTGCCCATAGTCTGAGCTACTTGGGAGGCTGAGGTGGGAGGATCAATTGAACCTGGGAGATCGAGGCGGCAGTGAGTGATGATTGAGCCATGCCACTGCACTCCAGCCTGGGCAACAGAGTGAGACTCTGTCTCAACAAACAAAAAAAAGAAAAGGTATCTTTTCTACTACACCCCTACTCCTGCCACTCATCATCTCAAGACTAAAGACAGAGTCTTGCAATAACTCCACTTCCTCTTTCTGCCCTGTTGGGCTAGACCTAGATATACTTTATAGTTAGTTATTTGTAGACATTGCGTCTCTTTCTATCATGCTATGATCTTGAGGGGACGAGGAAATAGTCTTACTACCTTTATCTCCTGCATATATACACACAAGTGGATGCTTTCCTCATGGCTGTGCTCAGTACATATCCGGAGAGGAGACAGGCTAGCTCACACCTGGCTTTTCAGGAGACACTTGATAATTTGTTGTTTTGGATGACAATAATTATCATTATTATTGTTTTTTGTTTTATTTTGTTTTTGAGACAGGGTCTTGCTCTGTCGCCTAGGCCAGAGTGTAATGGCAGGAACACGGCTTACTACAGCCTCGACCTCTTGGGCTCAAGCAATCTTCCCACCTTAGCCTCCCGAGTAGTAGGGACTACAGGCAGCACCACCACACCTAGCTAATTTTAAAATTTTTTGTGTAGAGACAAAGGTCTCACTATGTTGCCCAGGCTCATCTGAAACTTCTGGATTCAAGCCATCCTCCCTTCTCAGGCTCCCAAAGTGCTAGGATTACAGGTGTGAGCCACCACACCTGGCCTGACGGTAATTATTTAGGGGCCCTCACCTTCCTAAGTGATATAGAAACAGAGGGCTAGGGGAGATTAATGAGATTCCTTTAGCTTTGTCCCTGCTGAGCTTGCTTCAAAGGTGCTGGTAGCAAATAGAGTGGAGAGGGTTCTTTCCTGTCAGACTCACAGCGTCTTAAGAGCTGGAAGGCATCTTAGAGATTATCCATTTGGCCTTAAACATTTTTTATTGAGCACCTACTATGCCATGTGTTTTACTGCTAGGTACCAGTGATATATATATATTTATTTATTTATTTATTATTTTTTTGAGATGGAGTCTCACTCTGTTGCCAGGCTGGAGTGCAGTGGCATGATCTTGGCTCCCATGTTCAAGTGATTCTCCTGCCTCAGCCTCCCGAGTAGCTGGGACTACAGGCATGCCCCACCACACCCAGCTACTTTTTGTATTTTTAGTAGAGACCAGATTTCACCATGTTGGCCAGAATGGTCTCAATCTCTTGACTTCGTGATCCACCCACCTCAGCCTCCCAAGGTGCTGGGATTACAGGGATTACACTCGTGAGCTACTGCGCCTGGACTTATTTATTTATTTACCCAAGAGGAAAATCCACTTACAGAAAGCAAATAACTTGCCTAAGGGCATGTAGTAAGTGAGTGATGAAACTAAGACTACACCTTGCCTCAGGTTGCCAACCCAGTGCCCCTCTATGACACATGCTGCCTCTGTCCCATGGGCCTTCACTTACCCGTCTTTTAGCCTCCATCCCTGCTTCCCCATCTGAAGCTCTGTCCCTGGAGAACAGCAAGAGCAGGAGCATTTGGCTATCTGATCCACTTAGGGGTATCTGTCCAGATTATTCAAATGAGGGATTGATTCACCAGGTGCATATTCCCTGCAAAATGCTGCTCATGATGCTCCACCAAGAGGTCCCATAAGGGAAGTGATTAAAAATGTGGATCTGAGGCTGGGTGTGGCAGCTTACGCCTGTAATCCTAGCACTTTGGGAGGCCGAGGTGGGCGGATCACGAGGTCAGGAGATCGAGACCATCCTGGCTAACGTGGTGAAACCCCATCTCTACTAAAAATACAAAAAAAATTAGCTGAGCGAGGTGGCGGGAGCCTGTAGTCCCAGCTACTCGGTAGGCTGAGGCAGGAGAATGGCGTGAACCCGGGAGGCGGAGCTTGCAGTGAGCTGAGATGCGCCACTGCACTCCAGCCTGGGCAACAGAGTGAGACTCCGTCTCAAAAAAAAAAAAAAAAAAATGTGGATCTGAGGGCTGGGTGCGGTAGCTCATGCCTGTAATCCCAGCACTTTGGGAGGCCGAGGCAGGTGGATCACAAGGTCAGGAGATCAAGACCATCCTGGCTAAGATGGTGAAACCCTGTCTCTATTAAAAATACAAAAAATTAGCTGGGTGTGGTGGCAGGCGCCTGTAGTCCCAGCTACTTGGGAGGCTGAGGCAGAAGAATGGCATGAACCCACGAGGCGGAGCCCAGACTTCGCGACAGTGGGAGACTCCGTCTGAAAAAACAGAAAACAATGTGGATCTGGCCGGCACAGTGGCTCACTCCTGTAATCCTGTAACTTTGGGAGGCCAAGGCAGGTGGATCACCAGAGGTCAGGAGTCGAGACCAGCCTGGCCAACATGGTGAAACCCCATCTCTATGATAATACAAAAATTAGCCAGGCATAGTAGTGGGCGCGTGTAATCCCAGCTACTCAGGAGGCTGAGGCAGGAGAATCACTTGAACCTGGGAGGCAGAGGTTGCAGTGAGCTGAAATCATGCTATCATGACATTGCACTCCAGCCAGGGCAACAAGCAACAAGAGTGAAACTCCATCTCAAAAAAAAAAAAAGAGCCCAACTGCCTGATTTGAATCTGGCTCAACAACTCTGTGCCTCAGTTTCCTCATCTGTGAAATGGGGAGGATAGCATAGTTTCAACCCCTAAGGGTTCCTGTGAGGATTAAATGCATCATTGTACTTAAGTGCTTAGAACAGTATTTAGCCCACAGTATAAGCACTACATAAGTGTTTGCTTTTATATTTTATTTCTTAACTTCTCCAATCCAGCTGAGCCTATCTGGATTTGAGTGTGGGAATGAGTGGACAAGACTGTAATGGGGTGCAGAACTTTCCAATGCATCTCAGTGATTGGGGGATTCCCAGCAGCGTTTGTCCTCAGTACTGGTCCAGATGGAATTATCGAGCTATTTGAAAAGGCTTCTACTCTGGGGTATGTGGGCATCTGAGCTGGGTGTCAGTGTGTTCCACTTGAACCCATTTCCTCTTCCTCTAGTGGGAAGGTCAGCTTGGGGTTAGACTGGATACAACCACCATCTTTCACTAAGAGGCTCCTGATTTTCTGAATTTCCATCCAGCTGGAAACATGATTATTTGATCTGGAGCTTTTAAGCGATCCTGAGGAGAGAAGAGAAACATCCCAAGGACCCAGGAGCCAATGGATGAGGAGGCAGGAGGACTGGGGCAGGAAGACAGTACAGGATTCTGAGGCCTGGAGGATGACCTCTTCCTGGAAATTCAGTCCCTGCCCTGGGAGAGGAGGGGCTGTTCCCAGCTAATGGTCAGCTGAGTCTAGGTACTCTCCTCATTGCTATTCC